TACATACAGGGTCAGCATTGTAAATACTCATGTAGTATACGGGTTTTCTAGATGACCAGAATGGAGCTCTATCACTCCTCTGAATGTTAACCCGTCTAATTGAAAAATGTGTTTATCAACTTTGGTGAGGGTCCTTTAAACATGGGTACACTGGATTCGTTCACTTTCCCTTTTGTTTTATGTGGACCCATTCTGAAATGTAGAAGTTTCGATTTGAATTTGTTATCATAAATGTAAATTTATTGCCTTATCGTTACTCAACATTCTTTTGTATCCTGCACCCAAGATAATGTCTTCTTGATATATATTTTCCCAGGTTTTAAACACTTTCGATGCATTTACTAACCATTTTGGATGTGACTTATTACGTGCTAATGCCGGCTGCTTGGCTATCTGATCTTACGAGGGTTAGTTTTGTCAGCACAAGCTTTGAAAAACGAAAATGTACTTCTTTGACAAGTTTTAATCCTCATATTTTGGGCTTGCACAGAATTGTGTATGTGATGGTGTTTTGTGTGATATATGATATATTTTTATTTTTCATGAAACAAGCAAGATGGAGGAGTATGGCGAATAGATATTAATCACTAATATATACTGATAGTTCTATGTATTAATTAGACGGAGAACTTTCAACCCGACACCCTAAGCTCTGTGAATTAATTGGTTGTTCCATGCAACTTATTCATCAGAAAGTTACAAGTAAAATTCTGGGATGTTTATTACAGTTTGTGTCAACGTAATATATATGTTTGAAGGGACATATTTCCAGTCTTGGTGTTATTAAATTTGCCCTTATACAAGAATACCAATTCCTTTGTTTATTTTTTTTTTAAATTCGATTCCAGACTGGAAAAAAGGGACGGTGTGGCTCGTTATCCACCACCTGTCAACCTGGTAATCTTCACGGCTTAGTTCCCAAACAACACCATCTAAATTAATACCCTCTGGCTCGATATGGAGGGCTAATCGGAGAAAGGATAATTTCGATTTCATCCCTTTGAATAAATTATCACCAAACCAGGTTTCTTTACTGACTATCTTTAGCCTCACTACAATTTATCACTGGGATAAATATTTCTGTTTACTTTATGCATTTAAAAAAAAAATCGATTTTAAGGTTAAACAAGTTTCATTAAAATTCGATGTTGAGGTTTATTTTGCTGGCTCGTTAAGGCCCCATGTTCGCCGGATAAAAATGCAAATAAAGTCGTGTAATAAGCCTACGGACAAGAGAGATTGGAACTTTTCCAAAATCAATGGGTCTGAGCTATTAGGTAGGAAACATGGAGTTAAATACACCTCATTAATCAAGTGGTAATTTGTTCTCTGACCACCAGACTTTCTATTTGCTAATGAGAAAAAAACCCTGAAACCAAATCCCAAAAGAAAAATAATGAAAATTTCTAAAACACAACAGTTGTTTTTATAAGTTTAACACGCTTTAGTAGCTCCAACTTCAATAATATTTATCGGTTGTTAAAATATCTTTCCAAGTGTTTTAAAATAATGTTTAATTTTTTAACTCTTTCTACACTATATTTTTATATAAATTGATTATCGACTGAAAGAAATAATAAATCATTTTGATAGTTTATTCATACATAATACGTTATGTTTACGGTGTTAAATTAATTATTAAAAGATCACTTTAGATAAAAATCACTTATACAAATGTACTAAAATTCTAGTCGAAGATTTTATTTTTATCTTGGGAGCAAATAATTTTAATACTTTGTTTTGTTAATCAAAATTTGTTTGTTAAGTAAAACAAGAATTTTTATCATATCATACGTGATATAGACGGACTGGAGTCAAGAAACAATGTACATATTTTATAAGATAAAATTGTGTTGAAAATTTTTAATTTTTGATATAAATGTATTATTATTCCCTAAGTTTTATATTTCATTGCAGTGTTGGGCAAAAAGTAGTTTAATACAAACTACATCTACAGTATTCGAGATGTAGTTGTAACCACAACTACTTTTGTTAGTTAGTACTTGGCCCCCCAACTACTTGTTTCTCAACTACAACTACTGTAGTTGAAACGCACAACTACAACTACTGCAGTTGGAAAAATAGTTGCAACGAACTAATAGTTGTAGTTGTAGTTGTTGAGCTTTAACTACAGTATTCTCTTCTAAATACCCAAATGTCATCTGTACTATTCTGCTATGAGTTGAAAAGTTAAAATACTGAATTAGCAAAAATGAAAGGGTAAAAAAAATGTGGTGCAAAGCAATCACACTAGTGTCCTTACCGTTCCTACACCTGTGAATTTTTACATACTGCCTTCTTTGCTTTGTACGACATATTCAAGGTAGTTATAATTAAAGTTAGCTTAGCGGAACAGTTATCACAGAATTTAGTTTAACATGCAGGCCAACGATATAGCGGCCCAGCTAATTTGTTTTTGGTCCTATCGCAGAAATGATATGAGCAAAAAGTCTCTAAATTCAAATTCCTTTCATCGTGTTTCGACGGGGTACTAGGAGTACTTTGTAAAATGATCAGGAACAGAGAATAGATATTTTATGTTTCACCCTCCATATAAACTACCTTATCAAACAACTTTTTGAAAAACTGACTATATCATCTTCTAGGTGCTGTTAAAAAACTGATTTTATGGAATAAATACCTACTGTTTTGTTTTCCAAATGGTGTGGTTTTTTTCATTACAAGTTATTCAAACATGAAAAGCGACATTTTCTTAAACAACCACTTTTCTCCGGGAGCATTCCAGGTATATCTGAATTTCATATAAAGTTTTCACATGAGGACTGAAAATGGAAAAGGCAGTAAGTGCCTGACTTTGCCAGTTATAGATTTTTCGCTCTCCTGAAAGTTTTAAATTTTGAAAATTCATGCGTTTTCCATTTCCAGTCATCAAAAAATAATAATTTTTATATGCATTCCCATGCACCTAGAATTCATAGATAAAATGGCAACATTTGGAGTTTTCTAACTTTACCTGTCTTTCCAAAGGGCAAAGGAATTCTGATGTTCTTTCTTTTTTTAGCTCTTATAATCTACCTCACCTATTTCGTTCCTAAATTCTAAAATTTGGATTTTTGGCTTATCCTATTCATAACAGAATTTGCATTGTTAAAGTGTTTTACCGTTCCTGTGTGGCACAGTTGTGGCGTATGTAAGTGAACTGTGGTACTGTGGAACGGGCTCTTAATACATGGAGGTTCGGTTTGTTGCATTTTGCGTCAATGTAACAGTAGTTACATCTTGTAGTTGCAGTGGCAAATACTTGTTGCAACTACAGTAGTTGCGGTTGAGGAAATAGTAGTTGTGGGTGGCCAACTACCGACAAGTAGTTGCAGTTGCAACTACTTAAAATGTAGTTAATGGTTGTAAATAACATTTTTCTATAGTTTAAGTTACACCACGTAGTTGTAGCTTGGAATTACTGAAGGTTTTTGAAAGTAGTTGCCTATGTAGTTAACTACCGCACAACTCTGTTTCATTATCGTGGGTTCGATATTACAAGTTGCTCTGGAATTGTATAAAATAACCGAAAAATAAATAATCTTTTAAAAACAGGGTTCAAACCATTTGTTTCAGCGATTTTGGAAGTGTAGTTGGCTGTAAAACTCTCCAACATTTCAGAAATTACTTTACTGTTATGAGATAATTTTGAAATTAAGATTACACGACACGCAAGAATGGCACAATTACATAGAAAACAAACACTTTGAGCCCTGAAGATGATCTCAATAAAGATCGAAACGTTGGCAGGATAAAGAAAATGGTTTTCTGAAACCTACATCACACCAGACTGCATCTCACGATTTCTGAATAATTAATGATTATGTTTAGTAATTTGAATGTTCAGGGATTAGCATTCGGGCGTTTAAGGGTTTCATTTTCAGAGAGGACAACTGTATATTGTGAACATTCACGTTAAATATACTGTGGTCCGAATTGTATAGGTTGAAAACTTAAAACCTCTTAAAAACGGATTCATAATCTTCTCGAGTTTTAGAAAATTGGATACCAAATTCCATGTCTGTTTGTGATAGCCCAGTTAACGTTCCGTTTTCTTACAAGATTAATGGCATAACAGTGCAGGTCAACATAGCAATCATAGTGAAATCCAAATTAGTACTACATTAATCATTTCGGATGTGCAATCTAATAGATTTTCTAATGGCATGTTTCCGCAGAAATACTTTAGTCCTACTTTTTTTTTTTTTTTTTTTTGAGATGGATTCTTTACGGCAAGTTCCTCGAACATGGATAACAAGCAATGCAAATGAGAACTACATTAATCACATGTTAATGGAGAAAACTTTAAGCACACCAAAACCTTTGATGAAATTGGAAATGAATAAGCGTTGAACAAACTCTTGAAAAATCAGTAGTCATTTTCATCAGAAAATGTTGTCAATTTGACTAACTACATGCAACTAATATTTTTATATTAAACAATAACACCCGCCATTAACTATCTGCTCATGCCAAACAATTTTAACATGTTCTTCCAACATCCTGACCAGTGAAAAAAACCTGAAGAAAAGGCTAATTAAAGAAAAAATAATTGCTTGCTCATCGCTCTATAAGTACAGGTCAACACAACAACTTTTAAATAAAGTTTTGTATTGAGATTTAATATAAGCCAATTATATTATTTAAAGTTTAATTAATAGAATTGGTGTCATATCAAAATTGTAATGTATATTTTTAAATAAACAGACTCTGAGGATGACATCATGTGTGTCGAAAGTTTGCGGTAACGCTAATTTGTACAACATGTCGCTTATAATTATTATCCTTCATCATCATCATTAACTTAAAAAATTGCGAAACGATATCTATTAAAGATGACATCAACCGGTGAAAGTTTGGCGATAATGGACGGAATAAGGTATTATCAGTAAATATCAAAACGTTAGAACAGTTCTATCCTATTTGAGCGAGTCAAATATGACATGGTTTTTATTATATAAGATTAAATTGTCTAATATTAAATTCAAGTGTCGACTTACTATTGAAGAGTGGGACGTCCAAGAGTGCAATTTTGCCTAAAATGAATAAAGTTTTAATATACAACAAAGTTTTATACACACAATCTTTTCATTAGCAGCCTTGAATTTCAAAGTTTCACTTTTATTGGTAAAACTTTGAAAACCTGACGGTATAAAAACATTCCCCCCGCTATGTAACAACGGAAATATGGTATGTAAAACATTTCAAAAATTCCCGACAGATCGTGATCTTACCAGACTTATATCGTAGACGCTGTTTATACTATTGATAATTGTAATTAAATTTTTTTATAATGTATACCAATCATTCTTAGACTATCATGCAAGTAGTAATGTTTTATTTTGTGAAGACGTATCTAATAGGACACATTGCCAAGTGCACATTTTATCACTTGTTGCTTTTAGTATGCAGGATGTCGCAAAGGTGATTTTAGTCTAACCCCTACGGGAATTGATCAATTCAAGAAATAGGTTAAAATATCAATTAGACATTGTCGTTTTTCTTAGCAATTTGATCAAACACAAATCATTCATGCATTCGTAAAAGTCCAGTAAAAGCAATATTTGGAAATAGGATAGGAGAAGAAAATGCGTCCAGAAATCTATTTATGACAAAAAGAAGAGAACATAAAACAACATGCTGCACAAAACATAGACAGATCGGGTGAAAAAATGAAAGATATTTCTTGAAAGAAATCTGAAACGTATTAGTTAGTTCCATTGCTTTGATTGATGAACCCAACGTAGATAGATGTCCATTACATACTAACAACATGACGGCAATTCGTAGTAATTATGATAAAAGTTCAATTTAAGTTGGTATTTCAATTGGATACTATAAAAGTTTGGCCTTCGATCAACCTCTTTAACTAGCTCCAACCAGACGCACCGATTCAGTCCCACAGATTATGCTGAGTTTGCGTGACATGGAAAGAAAATTATTTTTATGTGCAGGTTAAGTATTTAATTTCCTATGAAAATCAAATGATGAAATACGAATAGATTTGTCGGTACAAAAAGTAACGACTTTAGTAACTCATGATGCCACTAATCTCCAACGTGTTAAAAAACATTAATGAGTATTAGAATTAAGTTCCATTTAAAACTTAAATGATAATTCTCCCATAAAGATTTGGTTAAATTTTTAGTTATGGAAAAACTGTGCAACATGTACAAACTGAAGAAGTCGAGCAAAGAAAATGATCTCTTACCTAACAAATATTGCGTGTATGAGGATTCGAAAAATTCCGACGCTGAAGCTAATATCTAATTATTTTTCCTCGCCTCAAACAATATTCGGAAAAATGTTGGAAAAGAAATATACAATAATTTCGACATATTGTCTAAGTTAATATTTTTGTTGATGGTATTCAACCAAACCATTAGCATACAACACACTCCCTGACAACTGACGTTGATTTTTTTTAACTTTTCATACAAATTCACTAGTTTTCGTGGTCCGCTCGACCAGTTAATATCTTTCAATTAATTAAGATTTTTAGTAGAGATAAAAAAGTCAGTGTCACGAGTGGGATTTGAACCCACGACCTTCGGCTAGATACGCCGCTACACTACCACTTTCAGATTTGGACCAAGTCAAGCGGACCACGACAACTAGTGAATTTAATAAGTTAAAATGAAGTATACCTTCACTTAAAGCTCTCCGGGGCCATTTCATTTGTCGCCGAGAATCAAATAGATTACACGACATTTGAAAAATGGCAAAAAGGAGGAAAAATTCAAAAAAAGGTGAGGTTGAGATGGGAAGTTAGGGTCCGAGTGGATCGAGGTCAAGATAGCTCATGTGGTAGCGGAGCGGCGTATCTAGCCGAAGTTCGTGGGTTCGAATCCCGATCGTGACACTGACTTTTTTATCTCAACTAAAAACCTTAATTAATTTTCATACAAAATTTCAACTTTTTTTCTTTATATTAGTTGAAAACAACCCTTATTATTTGTGTCTTTAGAAATAACAATTTTCAAGTGATTTTAGTGTTAAAAATTACCCTTTATTAGATTAAAGTAAGGAAACTTTTTTTTTCGCTGGTTTATTTCCGTTTCTGAATTTGGTAATGCATATGTAAAGGTACAAATTTAAAATTGAATCTCCAGCAAAACAATCTTGTAAAAAATATTTTCTTACGTATAAGCAGTTAGAAACAAGATTTAAGAAAAATCTAAACAAACATTTAACCACTTATTTATTTACAAAATTAAATGTTCAGAAGAAATCGTTAAGTTTTGAATTTAAACAGTTTATCAGCTATCTTTTTTTATGCAAATTTCTCGTATTTCAAGTTTTATATTTTTCCTTCAATATTTCTTTGTCAATGCAGTAATTAATTTTCAGTATGACACTGATTTATATAAGCTCTAATATGCACAATATAACGGAATTGTAATTAAAACATGGCTAATATATTTTAAATCATATGTAACGTATGACAAGAAATATGCTGATTATTCGTTTTTCCTACACGTTATGAAGTCGTTTTTGCAAATTTTCATTCTTAGCTCTTGTAGTTGTTTTATAAATGTTGTTAAACATTATATTAGACGTTGTTTTGAACAACCTTACAAATTTAGTTCCTTTTTAACTTCGCTAATATTTATGGGAAAGAGTGAGTGTGAAAAAGAGAGAAAATAGAATAAAATAGTACCGTGTGAAACGTCGACTGAGCAAATACAGCGTTGATTATACGAATAGCGCGGAGAGATTAGTAGCAAACGTGACTCTTTAATCTTAAGAGGGATTAGCACGGAATACAAAGATTTGCCCAGACGCCAAACTTTAAATTTGAAAAACGAGAGCTACGCTACTAAGGGGTTGTATGTTTTTTCAATTTCTTTTTCAAATATTTTAAGCCAGAGTGTGCTGGATGCTTAATATCCAGTGATAAAACACAAAGGAAAACATTTTAGTGGAGTTATGTTTAACCGTTGATAAAACCATATTCGAGTTAATCCAGTTTTATTCTACAATCCGATTTTATCATATCGGTTTGTTTTATTTTATAATTCTGTAATTGCATTGGGAAAGCAAGGCTAATGATATTTAGAATTTAGCTAGTTGATTTGCTTTTTAATCCATATCCACTTGATCTACTATCTTTATAATTTTATATAACCTGTTAAAGTGTATGAATAAACAAACAATTGATAAAACTCGTTTCAATTAGAAAAACAATGATGTTAATTTGCATTCAACGTTTAACGTTTTAAATTTTTATTATTATTCCAAAGCTGTAATAATTGTTTCAGTTGAACTTAATTGTTTTTAGTTTAAAATGTTTTGTATAATAAATAACAACGGTAAGAGTAAAGCAATTGCTAATTTGCTTACTGTTGATGTTTCCTTATCATTGACTATGAACTATTCTGTTACATTTTATTTCTGGCACGTTCAAATTACGATGTTCCAAAACAAAAATGATAATTTGAGGTTGGTAGGTTTTTAGTTGAGATAGAATAGTCAGTGTCACGAGCGTGATTCGAACCCACGATCTTCGGCTAGATACGCCGCTGCTCTACCACTTGAGTTATCGTGACTTCGATCCACTCGGACACTAACTTCCCATCTCAACCCCACCTGGCGTCGTGTAATCTATTTGATTTATCTCAACGAAAAACCTTAATTAATTGAAATATATTAAGCGGATCACTAAAACTAGCGAATCTCATAAGTAAAAATGAAGTATACCTTCACTAAAGCTCTCCGTGGCCATTTCATTGTCGCCGAGAATCAAACAGATTACACGACATTTGAAAAATGGCAAAAAGGAGGGAAAATTCAAAAGGTGGGGTTGAGATGGGAAGTTGGTGTCCGAATGGATGGAGGTCACGATAGCTCAAGTGGTAGAGCAGCAGCGTATCTAGCCGAAGATCGTGGGTTCCAATCCCGCTCGTGACACTGACTTTTTTATCTCAATTAAAAACCTTAATTAGTTGTTTGCTGGGCTATGAAAAAAATATGATAGTAGTATGTCAATTTATTTGAATGCCACAAAATGGCTTTTTTAACTCACTCTGTCGAGACGATTCAATGTTTTTTTTGTTGGTTTACAAAAATCGTACTTGTCAGACAAAAATTCAGACTTTCTCCGTCAACTATGAATTTTTCATCAAAATCGTTTTTGTTAAATTGTATAAAGAATGAATTATTTACTGAACACTTTCATTCGGTGCAAAGTTGGTCGTTTGGTTGACCCAAACCAATGTAATTTAAAAATTGGGAGATCTTTGATGCCTTTTAAAAATTCACTCCGCTGTGGCAAAACATTCTGGATTTTGGCATATTTCAGAAAACTGTGTCCACAATAAGCTTTCGATTGATATACATTGGTAGGATCGCTATATTTTTTGCCGAAACGTAACGTTCATCAAACTTGTAAAAACCTGAATCAAGGGAAAGGTTTAAAGTGAATGGGAAAATTTAATTCGAATTGATAACAGAATTTTTTTAAAAGACAAACTGACTACAAAAGACTAAAATTAAAATGAAGCTGGATTTAAAGAAATGAAAATAGCTTAAGAGCTTTAAACATAATGGATTATTGTTTCTTTATTTACAATAGAGTAGACTGTGAATCCTACTACATCGAAAGTGTATAATGTCTAATGTGAATGAAGCCCAAAAACTGCGAGAATTGTTAACTTTCAAAGTGATAATGAAAGGGATGAGGGATGTTAGACAATGCATGAGGATTAATGGAAAGCACTTTCGGTACTTGGCACAGAAGAGTACTTAGACTCGTAAGGTATGAACCTATGTAGTTTATGTAACGATAAACATACGTAAACCTCATTTCTGAACAATATTTTAAGAAATTATTCAGAGATCGTGAGATGCGTTCTGGTGTGACGTAGGTTTCAGAAAAACATTTTCTTTATCGTGCCATCGTTTCGATGTTTATTGAGATCATCTTCAGGGCTCAAAGTGTTTGTCTTCTGTGTAATTGTGCCATTCTTGCGTGTCTGTTGAGAGTGCCAGTGTTAATCACCACACATTTTAAGAAATGTTTTTATAATACGTTCTAACCTATGAACATGAGTTAAGTAATAGTGAGCATATTATCAAAATATAAGTAATATCGGGCTTTGGCAAATAAATGTGATGAATCAGTAAATGTTCCTGAAGGATTTGAAACTTTTGTGTATGAGACCCAGCATTTGAAATGTGGTCTGACATGGTTGTATTATTCAAAATTACCTCTAAATTTTGCATTGATTTAGAATCTGTCCGGAAATTAAGGTGTTCAAAGGATTTTTCTTTTGTGAAAAGTCATAACGGAACAGTTGGAAATGTTAGAAGATAAGTAATTTTTATCGCCCTAGAGCTATAACTTGTTTCTATTTACTTGAGGAACTAAGATGAGAGCAGAAGAGTTCAGTTGTAAATCGGTGGAAAAAAAATACAGGTTGTCTAGGAATAATGAATGAAATTGTAAACAAAAAGGATTAGTTAAATTCGAGGAGGGAGCCTTGGGGTACGCAAAAAGATCTTTGTATATTGACGAACTGTGAACCATTACAAATAATAAGGAATCCATTTCAGCAAGGAACCAACGTAAACCAACAATTTAGAAATCAAAAGTAATGATTCACCTTGTCACAGGCATCAGTGTATATCACATTTACTCGGTTTCCTTTTTCAAAATTATCCAGAATGTAATTTTGAATTGTAAGGCTGGTGGTTATTGACCATGTTGTTTGTTCAGTCCCTGAACGATGGAGTTAGAACGCCAAGCACACAAACAACAGCAACAATATAGCATTCGAACAATATACTTAGCTCACAGTTACATAGGATGGCTGAATGCCTGATGGTGTGTGTGGTTTCATACTTCAGATTTTTTGCCTATCTTGAATATATTCATACACCTCTAAAAAGTTTTAGATAATCTGGAAATACACATTTAGCATCAAGAAGTTGAAACATTGAGTAGGACGTTGGGCGAGGATAGTAGGACACTGTTTTAGAATAATGGTAGATGATAACGAGCCTGACCGTTTATTGATGTCAAGTAAATTAAATTTCTTTAAAGTAAATCATTTGATGACTGAGACTGCAAGCCCTGCCACAATTGAAGCTAATTATTTAAGAGGAGTCAAACCTGATAGAAAATAAATATAAATTTTTCTTACATTGCAAAATAGTAGCAGTAGTAAGATGTACGGTATGAGAAATAGATTTGATAATCTGGTAAACTTTAAATCATGCGACGAAAAAACATAAATCATTGAAAATGGAAGTTAATTAAGGGAAGGGCAAAAATTAATTCGAATTGACGACAGAATAATGTTTTTACTAGTGACCTGAGTTCTTATAAAGTTTAAGAAACAGAACGGATTCTGTCGTATTGCATGAACATACTTAATGATAAATGTGATGACTTTTACAAATATTTTATCATGATTGTTATCCGTAAGTAAACCTTTATAAAAGTAAAAAAAAGTTAATTAAATTGTCCATGTTTCGTTATTAATATGCTACCTACGCGTATCTGCATTTCATCATCTTCACTGTTTCGGCTTGTTTAGTTGAATCAGCTGGGATAAAGAGAGACCGAAATGGTCAGTAAGGAACAAATTTCATGTTCATCTCACAAAAATAGATTTTCTAATGTTACTAGATTTCAGAACCTAATCTTAGTATATATATATATATATATATATATATATATATATATACATACACACACACAGAAAATCGGATGTATGGATTATTTTTTAAGTGTCTTGTACACGAGTTACAGCTCCTGATGTCCCACTCTCTAACACAATTAATAATAATTGACAATGATAGTTCCTTAATCAGTGTTAATTAGTTCGATGGACGCTTTTGCTTGTAATTCCAGGTTTGAAAAAACTATCACAACAAGGATATGACATATTGCAAAAGTTCTATAATACTTGGACTATTAGGTCTTGGATAAATGAAAGGGAGTTAGAGATGAGTCGAAAGCGCTTTAAGCTTTTAAGTCATAATACCACCGACGATAAATTTCTGCCGTGATAGATGAACGCCACACTCTCGGTGAAACAAAGGATTTGATACTCTAACTTGGACTTGAAAGTCATGCGGAATGGTATACTCGAATAGGTTCTTTCCATCTCCCAATAATCGTATACGCTCGATTGTAGGATTGTATCGATGGATCGTTGATTGTACAATATATTCGATTTGATACCTGATACCTGTTTGTTGAATTTTGAACAAGGTAATATGAGAATGAGAGAGAAAGAAAGAGAGAGAGAGAGAGAGAGAGAGAGAGAGAGAGAGAGAGAGAGAGAGAGAGAGAGAGGGAGAGGGGGAGAGAGAGGGGAGAGAGAGAAAAAAGAAGAAAAAAGAGAAATGGAAAAGAGTAAGAGATCAAAGAGTTATAAAAAAGAGTGAANAGAAATATAACGTTTTTATTCAGTAAACTGTAAATAAGTAATAAAATGCAACCAGGAACAGATGACGAACATAATGAAACCCCTAATATAAGACTCAATTGATCATATTAACAAAACATGTAAAAAAATATAGAGCACGTTCTACTCTCCAAAACCCTATACTCCATCAGAGGTCAAATTCATCGTCAGTCACCTTGCAGTAGAAAAATCTTCCGTTTTCACCTTACCCCTATTTAATTTCAGTCCTTAGAACTATCTATTTCTCAAATGAATGGAAATGATGAATACATCCACAATAAAATCCAATACACAATCCAAAGCCTCAGCATGCCCCTACGCAATATGCCACAACAGTTTGCTGTCATTATTTGGCAAAATCCTTAAAAATTTCACTCTCAAAAACATATTCCATCCTGAAAAGCTCCGATGTCATTCATGGTAAGTACGTATAGGAACACCCGTTTCTCACATCTACTATGCCAAAGCGGCTGTTCGGCAAGGTCTCACGCTTGGTCCCATTCTCTACTTAGTACACACTGCAGATATTTTTTGCAACCCCGATACGGTACTGTTGAAATATGCAGAGGATACTACCATCCTTTCAGCAAACTTAAAACCAGTAATGGCCAGAAACGACAAGGGCGATCTCTGTTGTGTGGTTCGTTGAAGAGATGAAGGATTAGTCCTAAGATAACCAAATCCTTGAAAATAACTTTCTCCCTTCGCTGTATCACCACTCTTTGGGACTATACATCGACAAAAGAATTATTTGGAACCCTTACACTCGTCTCAAAAGAATAGAACTGAACAGACGATATATAACAATTTTTTTGACAGGGGCGATATACACTAATTAAACGGCTATTTGACAACAGATCGAAACTCTCACTAAACAACAAAATTCTCATCTACAATCTGAGGGAACGGAATTTTCCTGAGTGGGTTCAACCAAGAGTTCCAACCTCCAGTGAGTCCGGTCCAGATTTCTTCGAATCATTGCCCAAGCATTCTACTTTCTATCCAACCTTCCTAATCCGCACAGTCTTCCTAACCCCATTTGTCCTCGAAACGGGAAGAAGTCGATACAGCCGACTCATAAAACCTTGGACCCTAATCCCCACCCAATCCAACCCCTTTCATTCCGCATCCTTCCCGATAATCCACCCTAGTTAGGAAAGTGCAATTAATGGATTACTTCTTCAATCTTATCATATGAAATTCATAAAAAAACTTTCAAAAAAGCTTCTAGCAATCCAGCGATGTTGTAACATGATAAATAATCATTAAAAATACGATGATAATGGTTAATACGTGATATGATATGTTTATAGGTAAAGTCACAATATGCGAACAGTATTGCATGTTTTCCACAAGTGGAAAGATATTTACGAAAATCGTTCACAATAATTAAAATAAATCTGGACATCTACGTCATTTCCAAGCAAGGCATCCAACCAGTGAATATGGCAAAAGGCCGAAATAGGCCTGGCAAATTCAACATCAAAAGCAGAAGGGTCAGAATGATTGGAACAATTAAACTGTAAAAAATTACTGAAAAAGTGTACGGGCACCTGCTCTTTGGCCAAAGCCCGCGCAGGTGCCCCTTATGCAGAGAACGGTTGCTCGACCTGTCCCACATACTGGAAACATGTCATGCTTTGGCTCCCTACGGGGAGGGTATAGGCATGCCATCCAATCTGAAAATGGTACTCGAGCACTGCAGCGGGTTTCTGGGGGGTTCCCTGTTCCGCTCTCTAGGGGAAATTTTTAAAAAATTGTATATAGTCTTTGTGTTGTGTGTCTATATGTTTTGTCTGAGTGTATGTATTCATTAGCGTGAATGGCGAGGGGTGAGCGTGAAATATAACGTCATCATCGCCCCTCGAACGTTGAGCGTGTATGAGTGTGTGTTCGGGGTCGATGGTGAAATATTTATAAAAGTACTCCATCGACCCGAATCTATATTAGTTTGAGTATAGGTCAGGAATATCAAGTACTCCACCGACCAAACGGAATGAGTGTACTGTATGGATGAATTTATGTGTATTAATGTATTTATTTGTATGAATGTAGTGTTTGAAAGGGTAAATAGAATAAAAACTTAGTTGGGGGCTGAAATGACCTAGATGTCGGAAGCCTCAGGCAAAGAAAAAAAAATTGAAAACTCTCTGGTCTACTAACTAGACTAGGAACAAATTATCGCGTAAAAATGTAAGGCAAAGGTTTTAGGACACTTTGGATTTACATGCGCCACGTTTCGTACTTTAAGCATGTAGGTAAAATCTTGTTCTGTTCACTGAATTATTCTTCATATTGCTAACAATGTGAAAGTCACGTCAGTTAATAGTAAAAACAACAATTTTGTACAAAGAAGAAATAATTGTACTTTATGAAAGAATTAAAATTTTATAGTTCAAAATGTCAAATTTCTGGCAGATTGTATCGATCATTGTGCTAAATTTTATTTTTGTTTCAATAAATTGTTCAATATTTACAGTTTAATTAAAAGCAACTTCTATTCTTTTTATTTTTATTCGTAATAAAGGTTGTTTTTATCGAAATAAATTAAAATGAACTTACTTTTTTTATCCATTGGTAAAATGGCTGCGGATTGCCTTTGGCTCTGCATTCTAGTGTCACCGGGGTTCCTTTTTTAGCCTCCACTATACCACCTCCAGACACTTCCAGAATTTTTGGTGGCACTGAAAAACACAAAAAATTGTGTATTTTAATCAGAAATAGAGTTGGAAGATTTTCCTTTGTCATATCGTCAATGTTTTGAAAGGTAAATGTATCAAGAATACCGGAGTGATGGAAAATGTAAAAAGGACGATAAAAAAAGGAATAAACGTTATTGCGATGAACAATTTATGCTGACAGCTATTCGGCACGTTGGCTCAATTGGCCATCTCACCGTTTGACAACAACTCCTCCCATTAAATTGATAACATTCTATTTACACCTTGGCAATGAAACGATAGTTAAGGCCGTTTAACAGGACAACAGGCGAACTTTAGGCTGATTGTCCGTAAAACTCGTACATCAATGAAAAAACAATCAATTAAAAAAACTGGCCGGCGGTGAAACGAGCCGATTCGTCGTTTAACGACCCGACCACAATATAATAGCTTTAAAGTATTCAAGGTAAACAAATTAATAAGTCGTCCAATTACGCCTAGAAGCAAAGTGGTAAGTGTAATTAATAAGTAATACTTTACTTCCCCTACAACGACCGATTTTGTGTTGAAGTACAGCTATATTGTTGGTTTTATGTTCCTAGTTTTAATTCATTTTACAGCAGGATTTTACTGGCAACATCTTTAGTTACTTGTTCTTCTCATAAAATTTTTCTTTCTTTTCTAACCTATAAATATACAATAAAAAGGAAAGTAATCCCCGTCATAAATGTGGGCTTAACTTCAACTATCCTAAAGAAGAAGTCAGATTCACTTTACGATAAATTAAAAAACTCAATAGTGTGACAAATATTGCTAGCTGAACACCTAACAATTCTGCCAGCGCGGCCCCAACGTTTATAATAACGTTAATTAATATTTCACTAATAGTGTATTTTTTTTTTTTTTTTTTTTTTTTTTTTTTTTTTTTTTTTTTTTTTTTTTTTTTTTTTTTTTTTTTTTTTTTTTTTTTTTTTNGATTCCCTTGACAATTGACACATTTAACGTCATTAATACAGGCTCCCTCATGGGACTGCCCGCAGTTTGCACATCTATTTCTACTTCTGCATTGGTCCTGAAAATGGTTAAAACGGAAGCAATTTCTACACTGACGGACTGGAGGGACATAGGGATCCACTCGACAACGCATGCCGTAAATTGACACTGTTTCAGGAAGAGTTTGTGACTCGAAGGTTATTATGCATGTACCTAACTTAGTGATTTTATGTGTACCCTCATCTGTATACGTACGGGTAATTCTTTTTACGAATTTTATTGTCACTGGGGAATTGATCACTCTTATTAACTCCTCGTCGCTTAAATCAATATCTACGTTCCTAATAACTCCCCTCTTGAACACACAAAAGGAGGGTACATAGGAGCATAAATTGTACCTCTTCAATACGTTAGATTCAACCAAATGATTAGCCGACTTTCCATTATTAAAGTTAATCTTTATTCTATTACGGCCTGTGATTGACAAATTTACAATATCATTTTTATATTTGAATTCCGATTCGAACAATATTTTTCCTAGTTTCATGGGATGCATTTTGCCTGCATTTTGATTCGGGCTTTCCACGTGTACAATAAAGGGGCCAGTATCACTGGGCTTGTACTTATTTAAAGATAGAGCGTTGAGTAGGACATTTTTATCCCGATAATTTGTTGTTTGCTGATTAGGCTCCATCAGAAACACTTTATTTTGACCGATTGAAATTGGTTCTCCTGGTCTTCTGAGGTTGGATATAACAGAACCCGTTAGATCCATTTTTTGGTTTTCCGATTCTTCAATATCTGGGGGGTCATTTCCCCCGCTCGCGCTTGACATAGCAGGGAATTTAATAAATAATTTTATCGGACCAAAAAATTAAATTAAATTAATAGTAATAAATAGTAACAAATAAATACAATTATAACAAAGTAAAATAAAATAAACCAATAAAACTATTAGGCATTTAAATAACAGTTTAAAGAATTGAAAACAGATAAGAGGTACTCCCTGAATAGAACAGGTCGAAGCACACGGTTGATAAACACGAGGCCAGATTCAGGTGATCCTCTCTCGACTATGTTCAAAACAAGACTGAATAGTGTATTTTCAAAATCATATATACGATAGCACTTTCAAAATAATTAATTACCTACTGATTAACATGAATTGCATACCATTTAAAGTAAGCAGGATTGTTAAGACTTTTGACAACATAAACACAAAATGCGCATCAAAATTTTCCTCCTCAAAGATCTTTGATTTTTCCAAAATAACAAATTTACAATTAAAAATAATTTTAAAAAAATTTATTAATTATTTGCAGGTGGTGAGATGCGGTCTTTTTTTACGTTTCGATCTTTATTGATCGTCTTCAGGGCCTGGGATTAAAAAACATTTTTACATTTTACAAATACACTATTAGGATGTGAAAAAATGCATTTATACAATGCAAGAAAATTTTAGATTAAAAGAAATGAATTTATAGAATGCTAGAAAATTTTAGATAAAAAAAATAAATTTATACAGTGCTAGAAAATTTTTGATAAAAAAATGAATAAATTCTATGCTAGAAAATTTAAGATAAAAAAATGAATTTTTACAATGCTAGAAAATTTTAAATTAAAAAAAAAAGAATGTATACAATGCTAGAAAACTTTTTTTTATTAAAAAAATGAATTTATACAATGCTTGAAAATTTTAGATTAAAAGAAATGAATTTATACAATGCTAGAAAATTTTAGATTAAAAGAAATGAATTTTACAATGCTAGAAAACTTTAGATAAAAAAATGAATTTATACAATGCTAGAATATTTCAGATTAAAAAAAAGAATTTATACAATGCTAGAAAAATTTTTGATTAAAAAAAATTGAATGTATACAATGCTAGAAAAAATTTTCATTAAAAAAATGAATTTATACAATGCTAGAAAAAAAATTGATTAAAAAAAATGAATTTATACAATGCTAGAAAATTATAGGTTCAATCAAAGTATTTGTACTCACTCAAATTATTTGTTTTCCGTGTAGATGTGTCATTCTTGTGTGCCGTGTTGAAAGTACTAATGATATTGATATTTTATGTTTATATATATTCGATTTTGAAGGGGTGGGGGGAAGTAGGGAATAGAAAGACATTTTTATACGAGGAGTCGGCTTCTTTGAGGTGAAAGAAGCAGACAGACCGCATCTCATGACCTCCAAATAATCATTAAGTAACGGTCACTAAACACCACACAAAGTTTTAGGTTGATGACCTGAAAATAAATTTTTTTTTTTTTTTTTTTTTGGTAGGACACCTGAGAAATATGCTTCACTCACTTTTTTTTATTAAATAATCGAATGTCGATAAAGAGATTCATTAAAGATTTTTATTATCTTTATTTTAAGATTTGTTAGTTGCTCCTTTCTATGTATCAAATCTTTACATTCACAATTAACCTTATATACAATTTTAATCAATTATACTTTTAATCTAAGGTCTTGGTTTATATTTAATACGGCAAGTACAACATTGAAGTAGCCGCAAACAAAAACGAACCGCACTCTTCCTATTAATTCTTCCCGGCGAATATAGAGTCACTGGCCTGGCAACCTCTCTATATATTATTTGCGTTCAGTTTGATTTTTGTTCTTTTAAGATGTGTACATACTGTTAAATTAACTTGGGTGCAGCAATAAATAAATTTAAAAAAAGTTCAACGTTGAATTTTAGAATATAAGGGTTTTTTATTGCATTCTTCAAAGAGACGTTTTCTTTTGAGAACCACGTCCGACAATCAAATGTTACGAGTATATTTAGGAAATGTATGCCTCAGTCAAACTTTGATTTATTACTTTCTAAAGAATGGTCTTCAATTTGTATCTCATATAGAATAGATAGAAAGAAGCTGGAAATACCCTGACACCGAAAAAATTCCGCCCACTTAACACGTAATATAACTTAATTTGTATATATTTTTATATATTAATCAAGGTTTCATGTTTAATGTTTAATATTTTCTCAAAAAAATTAAATTGCTAAAGAAAATGAAAAAAAAAGATTACATGTCGAAGACTCCTCGGAATACTTTCTACCAGTATCCTTTCCGTTAATGTCTCTTTACTGGAAGTTAGCCCATTCTTCACGAAGATTCCTGTCAAGAACGTGGCTGGTATCAGGAAGTTATGGATGTGCTCTTATTCATCTTTTGAGGTTATCCCATAAATGTTCGATGGGGTGAAAGCCTGGAGAACAAACTGGCACAAACAAAATGCCCCTGATGTTATGCTGCTGAAGGTACGTTTCTACTATGCGAGCGACATGTTGACGAGTATTATCGTGCATTAGAATAGGATTTCATCGAGGAGAGGGAACGTATGATAATCCGAAGTATATCCACAAAGCGAATGGCCGTCAAAGACCCTCCACGAACAACCACCAACTCAGTGCGACTCTCATTGAAATTCCCGCCCACAGCATCACTGAGCTACGTTGAAAAGGTTGGCTCTGGGAAAAAGTTCAGGCTTTCTTTTAGCCTCCTCCACACTCTTTCTCGCCCATCTGGACATCGTAGAGCAAATCTACACTCATCTGTAAAAGGTACAGCAGACCAATCGTCCAAAGACCAATGGCAGTTGTGCAACTCCGTGTGTTCTGTTCAATCTTACGGGGCGCAGTTCGTTCGGAAATTTGGACCTCTAACTTCTTGGAGCTGATGAATCCCTTGAACAACAGTAAGGTGCGGGTTTCTCAAAATTCTCAAAGTCAAAAAACGGTCAACCTGTGGCTCTTTTTACCCTAGGGCGTCCATAACCGGGCCTTCTATGGTAAGACCCAATTTCGCAAAAACGTCTAAAGGTGTCTAGCAGTGTTTTCATGGGGAACTACGATGGCAATAGCCGTATACCTGATGGAACGTCATCATCAATAGTGGCATTTTCAGGTTTAAAAATTGAAGTTAAGAAAACAAAGATGAAAACTAAACAGTTTATTGTTTCAAAATTCAAACGAGACTGAATAAGCATTTTAAATTCCTTTCAATTAATTATTC